TCCGTGTGCGCGGCAGGAAGCGTGTGATGTCTGCTCCGTGTGCGCGGCAGGAAGCGTGTGATGTCTGCTCCGTGTGCGCGGCAGGAAGCGTGTGATGTGTGTTCCGTGTGCGCGGCAGGAAGCGTGTGAGTCATCGTATGGTCCTTGTGATGGTGTTTTTTCACCCTTGACACACATTCCGTCCGAGAAAACTTCCTCCTGCTAATCACTGCGCGAGACGTGAAATACGAGGCCGCGGGAGACACACAAAGCCGAGCGCAGAGTCGCCCCCGGGGGGCACGTGTCACGGCGGTGCACCGCTCAATTATTAAAACACACAAAGGCTCCCAAACACGGCAAACATACCCCGCGCTGTGCGGGTGATGGGAGCGTGCCAACACGCCATTGTATGAGGTGTTACTAAAGGAAGTTCCCGCTTCACGGCAACGCCGGATTAAAGCCGAACTCTGGCCAAACCGCCAACATGGAACACCTATCACAGAGCTGTGCGGCCCGCCTAACGATTTGTAATACTGTTCATCCAGTCCCGAGATTTACACAGCTCTGCTACACATCACAGCTGTAACTTGCAAAGCGGGACGACCCGATCTTGCTCTGCTGCAGATTTCACTTCCACTCGCAGGTCTCCTCCACACACTGTGATTGGACAGAGGACTGGACAAGGGAAAGATACAGACTGAGGAGCTCATCTCCCTATCACTCTGCTTTCTCCTCCTCTCAGCACGTTCCTTTTTTGTACACGAACACTGCAGCACAACTGATCAGCTCCTTGTGCTGCTTCCCCCCATCCCCAGTCTGAGCTCTGCTGTACAGGGGACTGCAAAAGGCCGACACCAAGTCAAATTGCTGGACCGGCACTGCGTTAATCATGACAGATTATCAGATCTCCGCCCTATAGCTATATAGGGCGGAGATCATTACACATTATCTCCGCCCCATATAGCTGCCAGGGAGGTCAAAACCTTTTATTTTGTAGTTTTGGGTGGAGCGGGGGAAACGTTAGACCCTCTGTCAAGTTTTTATTTCAGTCGGTGTCCCCGTTGGGGGAGATCCACCCTCTCCATTTGTTCTGGTGTCACCGATATGAAAAGTGAGGATTGATACAAAGTTTTACAGCTGCCCCCCCCTCCACAACAGGAATAGAGGTGGTATCTTCCAGTGGGGACACTTGTGGAATTCTTCTCACTTCAACTTCCTGTTGCATCCCTAAAACAGGAAGTTGAAGGATTTCTCCTCCCTTGGGACAGCAGAGAGCTGAACATAAAACGGACACTGAGAAGTATTGAATGTTCCCTCCTCTATACACAGGGGGGTAGACAAACTCCGGGCCCCTCCAGCTGGGGGTGGAACTACAAATCCCATGAGGCTTTGCAAGATTCTCACAGCCACGGAGAGAGAGATGCATCATGGAATTTGTAGTTTCGGCACAGCTGGAGGGCCCGGAGCTTGGCTACCCCCTGCGTATACACAGACTTTGCTTGTAGCGCACACAGACAGGAAGTGATGAAATGGAGGATGACAATAAGGCAAATGTTCATTATACTCAGCGCTTGACTTTGGGCCTCACATCCGAATATAAGAATTTCCTAATGACACCCGGCCTCGCCCCGCACAGCACACACGCGGTCACGCAGCAACAGTCATTGTTGTCAGGTTGCCTAGCAACCACATCCTACAAGTGTCAGCACAATACAAAAACCGAGCCGTGCAACCAAACACGTCGCTGCCTGTCGTCCCCCGCACCCTGCACCGTTCATCGTCCTCTGCACTGCCTGCCGTCCCTTGCACCCTGCACCGTCCCCTGCACTGCTCCTGTCGTCCCCCGCGCCCTGCACCGTCCCCTGCACTGCCTGTCGTCCCTTGCAACTTGCACCGTCCCCTGCACTGCCTGTCGTCCCCCGCACCGTCCATCGTCCTCTGCACTGTTTATTAGGAGCAGTGTCCGAGCTCATGATAAAGAGCAGGGAGAGCCGTCACACAGACAGCAGTGGAGAGTCGATCTCCCAGTGTAAGCAGACAGCAGGTCAGATCTGTCATTTCAGTCCTGCAGAGCGGAGGAGAGAGCCAGAGGGATGAGGCAGGAGAAGCTTCCCTACCAGCTGCGCCCTCTCCATCACAGTGCCTGCGGTGAGCGCCTCTCCTGCCTCTTGGTCACAACCCGGCTCTGTTTGCATCCCCCCCCCTCACCCCGGCATCCCACATAGAGATAGAATAATCATCAGAGACACAAGGAGAGGCTCCGGCTTACCGATGCTGAGTACAATGCTGGCCGTGTGTTCGTAGCTGAAATAGCGGACTATGTTGCAGAAATTAAAGGACATCAGGAGGAAGCAAAGCATGACGGAGATCCATTCTTGTAACCGTTTCCCTGCAAGAGAGAAAAACAAATCGCAGGTTACACAACAACGCACAACATGTTCATAGGGACACAATATCAACACATTCCGCAGAAGAAACAAAACAAACAAATAAACACACTGAAGAAAGAATACGGAGGTGTGAGAGGCGGCAGCTGACCCCGAGAGTGTCACTTCACTTGTAATGCTTCATAGAGTCAGACTGTCCGGGAGAGAGAAATGCGGATCTCTTATATATCTTTATCTTATAAAACGATATCATGAATATAGGTCTGCAATGACAGCACTACGGTATAGGTCTGCAATGACAGCACTGCGGTATAGGTCTGCAATGACAGCACTGCGGTATAGGTCTGCAATGACAGCACTGCGGTATAGGTCTGCAATGACAGCACTACGGTATAGGTCTGCAATGAATGGATATTTAACCTTTTTTAAAAGGGGTGCAAAGTACAGTGTGCTCCCAACTTCCCCTGCTGGACTACAGAACACCTTCCCCTTGTGTTATGGAGACTTTTTTTTTTTTCAGTCCAGCCAGGGAAAAGATTTCTGGCAGATCAACAAGTATTGTTTTGTACTTGAAGAGCGTGCAGATCCATGAGGAAATGTGTGTATTGCAGAGATGTACGGAATAGGTTGTTTTTTTTAATCTAGACCTATACTTTAAAGACCCACTGAAGGCAGAGCAAACATACCCTTGCAACGGACCTGCTCACCCCTTCCCATGGAACCTGCTCACCCCCTCCCGTGGGACCTGCTCACCCCCTCCCATGGGACCTGCTCACCCCCTCCCATGGAACCTGGGACCTGCTCACCTCCTCCCATGGGACCTGCTCACCTCCTCCCATGGGACCTGCTCACCCCCTCCCACCGCACCAGGAACCTGGCCATTCCCATGGGACCTGCTCACACCCTCCCATGGGACCTGCTCACACCCTCCCATGGGACCTGCTCACACCCTCCCATGGGACCTGCTCACCCCCTCCCATGGGACCTGGGATCTGCTCACCCCCTCCCATGGGACCTGCTCACACCCTCCCATGGGACCTGGGATCTGCTCTAACCCGACCTTCCTACAGAGTGTATTATTAATTGATGCGCGGTGAGGGTATATCAATGTGCTCAGACATTATAGGACTTTGAAGGGACCATTAAGACCCCGCAGGCTGGCATTGCTGAAGATTCATTGGACTTTTTAGGTTTGTATAGAGAAAGGAGCAGCGGGAGAGAAGCTTATTCCTGACACAGGATGTGCGGCTTCCTCCTGGATGAAGGCCACAGGGATATTCCTCACTACTAATGTATCTGGCTGTCACTGTGACCAGAGCGCATATCCAGCCGCCTTGCTGAGGAGACGCTGGACAGTGGCCAGGACCAGCCACACCTCGTCTCCGACCCTCACGTGTACGTGAGGAGCAGGACACATCCATAGACAGCCTGCAGCGTCAGACCCATCAGTCTCACACAGGCCGAGGTGGGAAGGGTTAGCTACGGCGGCGACCGATGCACCCAACACACACGGGATTCTATACTATGGGAGGTGTGGGCACCACGGCTGTCAGGAACTTAATAGGAGGGAAGGAAAATGGAATGTACAGCACACATTCCCAGAGCAGGGGACATCCCCTTCCAACAACCTTCTACACAATACACAATGCACAATGAGCTCAATTTACCAACATGATCTTCAGAAGAATCTTATTTATCACCTCACAACAAAGGACGAGATTCAGAGATGTGTCAGGACAATTTTCAGGGCGACTTGCCGCAAAGGGGGGCGGCACAAACTGTACACTTTGTGTAGTGTAAGCTCCTCTGCACAGAGACTGATGTGACTGGCTCAGTGTTCTCCATACAGCACTGCGGTATATGTCAGAGTTATATATGTGTATAATAATGGTGTGTGACTGTGGGGGGGACATTAGAGTGTAAGCTCCTCTGTTCTACCTTTGGCTATCCCCCACAGAACATGACAAGGTCATGTATGATGATCATATGTGGTCAACAGCCCCATTTCCTGTCTAGAAGTTCAACTCTTGCTTTCTGGTATAGTCATAACTGAACTCTGGGAAGAATTATCTCTCAACAGGAAGGAAGTACGTGCGGCTCTGCAAGTGTCACACCCCGTATCTGTCACCTGGTGCGTAAATATACAATGTATCAAGCTTATGTATCTCTCCGTTACATAATGATACAACCAGCATGAGACATGAATGACCCCCTAGGAAAACAGCTAATAAAACCCCCCAAAAACTCTTCTGTTCTCATAAAGTGTCCAAATGGCCTTTTTATAAACATTTGCCCCTGTATGGGCCGCCGCCAGACCCACAGATATGCGGTCAGATGTTATATGACTGGGGATGAAAGATACGTCCTTCTGTATTTGGTGACTTCCCGTTTACTTCCTGTTTATGGACAGAAGACAACTGACAATTGTATGATGT